GATTTGGTCTGACGCCAGTGCACAAATGCAGTCCTCCCGCGATGCTATCTCCACTTCCGACGACAGCTTTTCTTTCTGTTGTACTTGACACACTTAGTAAATCTTGCAATTCATCTGTAACGTCCCTGGGGAAATAAACAGTCCTGGCAGCTTACCTCCTACCGCAGACTTGGAGAAGACCACTGCTTCCTGTTCGGGCTGTGTGCAGTGGAATGTTCGGGGTTCCCCCTGCGAGGGGCGGGAGGGACTGGGCGGCGGCTCTTTCGTTATGCTGACTGTGTGTTCGCGGATCCACTAAGCACGGACTACAAAAATCTGGAGTGACAAAGCCTGGAGGGGCTCTCCTGTCATTTTAGATGCAAGGAGGATACAGGACATTGAATGTGACCTGCGCAAGGCCACGCAGCGGAAGATCCCAGGCCGGGACAGGAGCCAGACCCTCTACTCCTAGCCCAGTGCGCTGCCTGTGTGCTCCGTAGGCTAGTTCACGAACACACTGCCTGGCCAGCTCGGCCAACCCAGAACACCCGCGCTCCTCCCGGTGTGCTTCCATGCCTGGTCAGGAAGCAGCAAGCAAACACTAGAAAGGGCAGGAGGTCAGGGAAGGGCGAAGTGACCAAATGCAGCCGTGTTCCAGTCCTGCTGCTCGCCCACGGCCCTCAGCTTGATCCCAACTCATAGGGAGTCCGGAGGACAGAGCGGAACTTGCTCCCTAGGGTCTCCGAGGCTGGAGATCTTTACGGGAGCAGGCTGGCCTAGCTTACTAGACTGCATGGCAACCTTTTCAGTGCCAGTCCAGTGCCTACTACATCCCAGGGCTCCTCGTCTTAGTCCATCCGTTTTACTGAAGCCTAGAAATGAGGATCGCTAATTCCTAATAACAGAAGTTGATTGACCGGGACACCGCTGAGGGTCGCCAGGACCGACACTGCTATTGTTTTCCAAATGTGGAATCCCACCAGTGGGACAGAATCCCTCTGTCCTTCCTGCTTCCAGGACTGCTCAGTGTCTCAGGGCAGCCCTGAGTGAGGACGAACTTGTGGCAGGGACAGGGCCGTGGCGGCACCACATGGCGGTGCAGAGACAGGAGCCCTCCCTGCCTGACAGGGTCAATCTGGGTCCCCAGGGTGGGTCATCTGCCTTCTTCTCTCGAGGTACCCGGACTGTAATCAGCTGGGTGAAAACAGAACGTGTCCCTGCACTGAGCAAACAGAGGTCGCACACTGGGATCCAAGCTTCAGAATGCGAGCTCCGGCCCTTCACCAGGCCTGTGAAGCATCTGCCTAACAATGGCCACACTGGATCAGTTGCCTGGATAACCGGCTTAGATTATCTTCTGCTTTTCCTTTAAAAAAACACACACAAGGGGTTTTTCCAAAAGTTCCTGCAAAAACCAATCCTGGTATCTTTTCGTTCCATTTCCCCACCAAGTTTTGAAGCCCCCTCCTATGTGTCAATGCACAGACAGGTTTCTGAAGAGATGGATGGGCATTCCCTCGGGAGAGGACACTGGGTTAGACAGTGTGTGCGTGTGTGTGTGTGTGTGTGTGTGTGTGTGTGTGTGTGTGAAGGAGGAGCTCGCTTTTACATGCTGTGTTTCGGAATTGGGTATTTAAAATGGCCATGTTCAAGTCGCAAGAAAATGCTTTGGAAATGATGATGGCAACCTATGTACAAATGTGCTTGATACAATTGATACAAGGATTGTTGTAAGAGCTGTCAGAGCCCCCAGTAAAATGACTTATTTAAATAAATAAGTAAATCTCAAGAAAAGAAAGCAGCCATATAGTCACGAGCCTCTTGCATCATTTCGAAACGGATGAAGAGAAGTGGAAGGAAGCGAGCCTGCAGGATTTACTTCTGGTGTGTCAGCACACTGTCACACGGGAAAAGAACGCTGGGCTAGGAGTTGGGAGCTTACAGAGGTGGAGGCAGGGGAGGGGAACCTGTGCTAGGAAGGCAGTTTAAAGAAGTGGAGGTCAGGGAGCGTCTCAGGGACAGATAGAGCTGAGGTCGCATGAGACCTCGGTCAGGGGTCTCCTGCAACGAGAACCAGTCTCAGCCCAGAAAACAGTTGAGTGGAAGAAGCGAATAGACGGTTGCAGCGCCAACCAACAACCCATTTAAAGAGTTGGTAAAATGAGCAATGGCTAAAAAGAGAGAGAGACGTGTCGGTGCCAGCCCTCTCCATCCGTCTGATACCTTCATGGGTCTCTGAAGGTCAGGGTCTTAATTCTTAGAGGTCATTTCCTAAGTTTGAGGTGCCAAGAGTGCCACATAATGAAGGGAAATGAGTGGCATAGAGTCAAGACGATGCTGCCTCACAAGCGCACAACTCATCTCAACTGAGCGCAACACACCCAGAAGGACACCCCAGGAGGGTGGCCGCCGACAGCACTCTGCCGTATTCCCTTCCAGGATGGCACAGCACATTTCCCTCAGTGTTGCTTCTATGTCCCGTGTGACTAGGAAACCGACCGACAGTATGGAAATAAGCCTCATCTTATCCCTTCTTAGATGATTACGGTTCTGAATGAAAATGACATTCAATTTTTTCTACATTTATAAAATAAGCCTGTCCACCCAGATTTTCTCATAGTTTTCTATAGATTTCTTTTTTTAAGATGCTGTCTTCTTGCGATCACTGCTGCTTTACCTGCTTGTAATAACATGGCATAAAGCACAACAACAAAACCCCAAACTCACTGCGAGAGCGTCGGTTCCAACAAACACGACATTAACACCATTTAAAGCAGCTTGCTCTGCGTTTGTATTCAATCCTGAGTTGAAAACGAAGCAGAATGAAATGAAAATGAACTTACGCAAACATCAAGATGCATTCCTAAGTTTTAGTAGAAAGAATCGTTAAAAAAAAACCAAAGGATGTAGGTGGGCGTTTAGTCTTTTCCATTTGAAACCTTTTCGCTGGGACCCTTCAGTAGGGGGTTCATAAAGGCAAGCTGCAAACATCCTCAACAACTGAACATGAATCTACGATCTACCGTAGGGCCTGATGTGCTTACAGGGACCAAACTACATTTGTATTTGACTCTGCTGTTTTATGAGCTCCATCCTCATGTCACTGTCTTGTCCTGTCCCTCCACCATGGATCACATTAAGAAATGCTTTTTCCCCCCATAAACTGTTAAATAGTCACTGATGAGCCACGGGGAACTTGCACTATAGAATGTTGTGACCAATTAATAGTCCTGTTGACTTGGTTTACAAGGCTTGAATTATTCACCGAGGCTTTTTATAGCACGCCGCTGCAGCAAACTCGGGAGCTGTTAGGGCCCCCAGAGTTAGCCAGCCACCACATCAGGTTACTTAACCACCACACAATCACCTCCGCTCAGTCTGCACTTCCCGCCCTCAGTGGGCAGTTTCCTCGGAAGCCCCAGCATATTGGGACGAGCCAGCGTGCCCAGGAACACCTCTATAGCGTCTAGCTCGATTTTATGCGGTAGGAGAGGATGCTGGGCTGGGAGTCCATGGACGGGGTCTCAGCTTCACCACTAAAGAGATCTCTTGCTTATTCTCCATACATTCTGAAGTGAGGGCTCAGAGGAGCGGTGTCTGATGATTTCTTCCAGTTATAAAACTTAATTAGGGTTCTATGATGTTACTTCACAAGGTGCCAAGACAGTAACTTGGATCTGACTGGATGCATGCTAGCAATAAAAACAGTAACAAATATGATCTGAGATATTCAGGGAAATAAATACAATAGCATCCTCCTGGAATCCCCTCAGACTTTTCATTTCCTTCCTATCAGGCTGGCTATATCTGCAATATTGGGCCACTTAAGATGCTCACAATTTGTGACCGGGACAATTATCTGGAGAAGTGAGAGGAAACAATGGGGCGAGAGGGACTCGTGTGCACTACACAGAGGCTGGCTCCCGGCACACTGCCAGCATTTATCATCACGACCCACGGGAGGCATCTTTGAACTAATTGGTCATTTAGGTAAAATTTTGAAAGTGTTATTCTTTTCTTTGTGTTAAGAATGGAATGAACCACAATTAAAACAGTCCATGCCAGAAATCTTACTACTGTCACAGAATCTCCTACAGCAACGTTCATAAACCCCATCGCTTGATGACATCACATCCCATCATCCCCTGCCTCTCCATCTGCTTTCGGAACAGCGGGTAGGTGGCTATTCTCGCCCAACCTGGTGGGCAGAAAGGGCTGGCTCATACCCTGTCTGTCCAGAGAAAGACAAAGAACATACACATTTTGCTGACAAGGAAGAGACTTTTTGAGAGAGAGAGACACACACACACAAAAGAGGAGCTTGGAGGAGGCAAAGAATAATGGAGAAGAGGAAGCATTAGCCTGGACTAGTCTGGAAACGGCTCTTGTTATTTTTGTGCGAGGGCAACTACCCAAGTGAGGCTGTGGTGACATACGCCCACCACAGCAAATTTCACGTCAGAGTGAAAGACTGTCTGGTAAGTGCTATTTTTAAAGAGCCACCATCCACAGAAAGGAAAGAGGTACTAGCAAAAGGCTGCCTCCTCAAAAGACGCTGACTCCACACAGAAAGGAACGTCTTACAACCCAACGGAAATGCAACAATGGAGTTCAGACATCACCACGCCGTTCTCATTCTCCATGGTACACGCTGCTATTTCCAAACACGGGTCAGTGCAGGTGGGTGCTGGACCTCACATTCCCTGTCACCATACAGACAGGTGGAAAGACGCAGTACCTTTCGTGGGGACTCTTGTTTCCCTTTGAAGAAAGGGTAAAGCTGAATGGAATGAAACTGTCTCCACACAATAGTGACCGTGGCTCTCTGAAACACGGTCACCCTGACTGTAATTACTTACGAGCTCAGTAGACACACACAGTGGTTATTTCCAAGGAAGCAGGGTAAGGAGCTTGGGACACAACGTGTGTGTGTGTGTGTGTGTGCTCTGAAGTCACAGGGAAGCCCTCAATCACCCTAACAACGATGGCCACGTGCCCCTGACCTAATCACAAAGCAGGAGTCGCATAAGAAATGGCTTTATTAGAAAAAAATGTAGTGTACACGTGGCTACTTCCTGTCATTCACATGCCTCTGCGCTCTTTTCTAACTAAAATCTTTGACAAGGTTCAATCTCTTTAGAAGTTAGTAGCATGTCTCTCTATTCTGATATGTGACTTGGGGAAGGAGGTATCTTCCTATCATAGATACTCTTCATTTCTTTGCATAATCAGAACGAATCCATCAGTAGTTTAGCACAGGCACAAAACAGGGAGGGGATTATTCAGGTAGTATTTTCTGTGTAAGACATCACACTTCCAACAACCCGAGAATCAGGCATCGTAATGCCACTGAGGCAGGTTTACAAAAGCACTCATTAGCACGCAAGTCCCGCGACATTACCGAGCGGTAGTCAATGTGGTCATCTGCAGCCTGACAAAACCTCTCAGTGCAGTTTCTCGGCTCTTCTCTCCCCTTCCAAGTCGGACGTGCAATTAATTCCACGCACATGCGCAGTTCACCGGGCGTCCTCGTCTGTCCGGCGCCACGTCTGCTGTTAGACGGACACGACCACGTCCAGATAGAGCCTGTCGTAGGACTCCCTGAAGCACACGATGAGGAGGAGACCGAGCAAGCACGACCCGGGCAGGCACCAGTTAAACCAAGACAACTCTGTAAGACAGAAAACATGCCACCTTACGCACACGTGCATCTCGGCGCCGCTCAAACCGCCCGTAATAAACGCGCCGCTTCCAATGAGCAGCGACGATCGAAGGGCGCCGTGATGCGTGTAATATATTACAGGGCTTTCATGTGGAATATTTTTAATCAGTGTTGCCCATGACATTTCATCAATTTTACCCACCTTGACTTTGGTGACAAGCTATTAAAAAGGAAAAAGAAAAATCAATCGCCTTTAAAAGCTAGTTGGTTAATTATTTTTCCAGTGTTCTCTCTTGCAGACACTCTTGATCCTGCTTAAAAGTCTGATAGAAGAGACTAAGAAAGATCAACTAGATCTCCAGATTAAACTTTCACACGTCTTAAGAGAAATACTTCATTCTCAGTAACATTGTAACCATTGCAAGACAGAGGGGAAAATAGAGAAAAATAAAGTTAAAAAAAAAATCATCTTAAGTTCACCCCCAAAGAAACCACTGTGCATATGTTGGTGGATTTCCTGATAGTCTCCTCCCCCACTCCCCACCCCGTGCGGGCATCGGGGTTTGTACACGAGACCAATTACTGGAACACCTACGGCGATCACCTGACCGGGGGTGGGGGCTGTGGTCGGAGTTAGTAGTCACAGGGGGTGCGTGCGTGAGGTGGTGGGAACTCCGGGGATGATGGTGGATGGTGGCACAGGGTGATGAATGGTGCACCGGGAGAAAATCGGCTCTTCACTCCCGAAAGGAGTTAGACTGGGAAGCCCTGAGGGGCAGTTCTACCCTGTGCTGTAGGGTCGCTGCAAGTCGTAATTGGCTTGATGGTCGTGAGTTTGCTTGGGTTTTAAACAGTGCACCAGGGAAGATTTTTTGCATTGGCAAGTGTGTTAGATGTATGGGGGACCTTTGAAAAGCTGGTGCAGTCATGGAATTAAGAGACACTGGGATTTTTCCATGAAATTTTTAAAGGCCCTCATATAATTAGCAACCTATACGACAGGGAAGAGACTGTAACTCTTTACAGGTGTAGAAAAGCCACCTCTTTCCCCTTGAAGCAGCTGCTAAGTTTGAACTGCTGACCTTGAGGTTACCTGCCCAATGTATAAACACTACACCATATGAGTTTGAACCGACTCCGTGGCAGTGAGTGTGAGATGTGTGTGTGTATCTGCACACACACACACACACACACACGAAAAGAGCAGTCTTCAAAAACATTTTCTCATGAATTGGGGACTCTTCAACAGGAGACAATGATCAAGCTCCAGGGACCTGGAGACACAGCTGTGGTCAGTCCTCGCTGCCCAACGTCTGCCAGCCACCCAAGGTCCCGGGTGTACAAGGGAGCGGTCTTTGGCGTGAAGAGGTTGAGGGGGCTGGACGATTTATCTAGTTTTAATGATCTATTTCGCAGTTCCCATAAAGAGCAAGCAAACAAGGGAAATGACTCCCCGGGACCTTTTTGGGGTGCTCTTCTGGTTACAGGAAGGAGCCCAGAGGGCACAGTGGTTTCATGTTGGGCTGCTAACCGAAAGGTCAGCCACTTGAAACCAACAGCCACCCCCAGGGAGAAAGATGAGGCTGTCTACTCCCATACGGAGTGACAGTCTCAGAACCACAGGAGCAGTTCTATCCTGCCCTAGAGGGTGGTTATGAACCGGCAATGACTCGGTGGCAGAGCGTCTGCGTATTACAGTTACGTTTTACCTTTGTACACCTACAGAATGCCAGTACGGCCACCTTCATCTCCAAAGCCATCCTAGAGATGGCCACACTGTTGCTTTAGGTTAACCCATAGTCATATGGCTAAAAGAGCAGTTTATGCTCAGGAATGGAAATCAGAAAACCAACCGGTAAGGGAAGAGAAGGTGGAGAAACACCCTTTTCCCCCCTTGGCTAAAATATGCTTATGGAAACTGGCCTCCCCGCCTCTTAAAATCCCAACATCCTCCGAGTCAGGTGTGCTACACTACAGCACCCAGCAAAGATGGATGGAGGATTTCAAGGGTGTTTTCATGCAAACCCCGATCTCTGTGGACTGGAATCTAATTGAAGTGCTCGGAGAGGCTGTGACACCTGGGACCTTGTCTTCAGGCTGATCTTCCTGAAATGACAACCCAGGCATTCTCTGCTTTTATATTAACCACATAACCTCTGAATTTCTGATGATTCTGACAGGCAAAAAGAAGCAGTTTAAAAAAAAGGACAAAGGTATAAAATAGAGATAATAACATATAAGAATTAAAAGCATTCTGACTTTAAGGTAGGCTTTTAAGCAATGCATAATACAAAGTACGGCACTTGACAAAGCAGTCTGCAACAATGACATTTTCTAAATCTTAGCGACTCTAATTCATGGGGTGCCAAAGTATGCATGTGGCGATAGTAAACTTGTCCTTTGCCACGCACTTGGGGCTTTGTCAAATATGGCCTGGGCAGGCCTTAGATGTCGCAGAGTTGTAACATTGTTCCTTCTACCCGAGCTCAGATGACGCCTTAACAAACGCCCCCTAACAGGTCTCTGCCATCGCTGGCTGACTGGTTTTCAGTGGGCGCCTCTCTCTGCCAAGCCCAGCCTGCCTGTCAGGGCAGTCACCCGCTCAGTCAAGTGCTCTTTGAAACCATCTGCCTTTTCAGAAAGTCGAAGGTCTGAGGCAGGGGAACGGCAAGAGCTCCCTGCCGAAAACAGTCCGCATCAACCCCAGCTCAGGTGTGCTGGCTAGTAAGCAGGAAACGGCGTCATAATCTCCGCTTCACGGGCTGCGGCCTAGCCAGTTGCCATCCTTCCTGGGCTTGATGTCACATGATGAGCCACTTCATGAGCTGCTCCTAATTTGACCCTTTTCTTCTTTTAAAGCAAGCACGGCTTTGCGAGCCTTCCTTCTGTCCGTCACTAGAGGACCTCTGACCCCATGTTCTCTGAGACCCACCCCACCCACAGCCTGAGTCCGTCCGAATCACGGCGACCTGAGGAGGGGTTTTGGGGTTGTAAACCTTTATGGGAGCAGGAAGTCTCATAGTTCTCCCAAGGGCTGGCTAGTGGGTTTGAACTGCCAACCTTGGGGTTAGCAGCCTTGACCGTGCCATCAAGGCTCTGCGCTCTTAAGAACAAAACCAAAAACCCACAGCCATCGAGGGGATTCCTACTCACAGCCAGCCCCTGGAGGGTCTCTACGGCTCTCAATCTTTATGGGAGCAGACAGTAGTCCAATGTTTAACTGACAGCGCCCCACACATACACTCTCTTTGTTAATCTATGGTGCGGCAGATGCTAACTTTTCCCAGTGAACTGGGCTCGCCACCAAATCCTAATGCTCTGCTGGGATGGAACGAGCAAAGCTGTGTGCATCCTCACACCTGTTCCTCCCAGACATGGAGATTACTTTTCCACCCCATCTTCCTCACCAGCGATGCCAGCTCTGGGTTTCTAGCACCTGTCTCAATTCAGCTGCCACCGCGGAACCATTCTTTGACATTCTCCGGCAATTTAACAAAAATTGTGAAGCTAGCAAAATTGCCTTTATTCTTCTCACTCAAGCCAAGACGCCAGCTTCAAATTTCAGTTCTCCAGTGACGATCCTGCGCCACCTTCCGTCGTCTTGTCTTTTGTCTACCCAGGGCTTCTCAAATCGAAAGTGCCTCTGGTGAGTCCACAGCGATCTGCCCTTTGCCCGCTTGGTGACCTTTTCTCTCACCTCAGTCAGCTCCCCATGGGGGCTTCCCATGATGGGGCTGGGGTACAAGTCTTCAACACTTATAGACCAAACCTACTGCACCACTTCTAGATAATAGCCCCCCAAACACACACAGACACTGAACTGCAGACCAAGCAACACTCAACTACGCGTGTGAGCACATAAAGAGTGTAATAGCTTTCTCAAACTCTGCATCTAGAATTACTTGACCAAAGCATCATGTGAGGTCTGAGGAACAAGTGGTGATCCTCAAAGGCAAAGTTACATAGGCTGGCAATGATTGAGCTTTACAAACATGCTTAAATTGCCCCTGGTGGCTAATGACTGGGCCTGTTATCCAGTTGCCACTGCGCTGACTCTGAGTCGCTGTGAGTGACCCTGCAGGGCCGAGAAGACCTGCACCGCACCTCTGATGGAAGCAGACGCCACATCCTTCTCCCACAGAGCAGCTGGTCGGGTCAAAACACGGCCCTTCTGGTCAGCAGCCCAGCCCTTTTTCACTGGACTCCAGGGCTATCCGGATATTAGGGACAATTTCTGTTTAATGTCTTCGGGAATAAAAGTAAGAAAAACTCCAGGAACTACTGACACGGTTCCAGCACCACAGCAGATTGGGACCGTGGTGTAGCAGACCCTACGCAAGCTCATAACGTGCAGCATCGACGAGTCCCCCTGCCGTGACAGCGGTGGCCTCGACCTGCAAACAGTCACCCTCTGGGGGCTGCCTTGTTATAGGATGGCACTCAAATGTGGTCATTAGTCCTAGAAGAAGATCCCTGACGCAATCTCCTACCACACAGTACACTGTGTATGTGGATGGGGGGGCGGGTAGCAGGATGAAAAACAAATCTAGCCAGGAACCTGAGCCCCGTCCTGGAGACATCGCTTCAAAAAACGCATGTGACTTTGTTGTTAGGTGCCATCAAGCCAGCTCCGACTCAAGGTGGCTCTGTGCACAGCAGAGAGAAACACTGATTGGCCCTGCACTGGCCTCACAATCGCCCCTGTGTTGCAACCACAGGGCCAGTCCATCTGCTTGAAGGCCTTCTTTCTCCGCTGCCCCTCCACTTCAGCAACCACGATGTCCTTCTCCAGGGACTGGTCTCTTCTGACAACGTGTCCAAAGTAGGTAAGACAAAGTCTTGCCATCTTTGATTCTAAGGAACATTCGGCCATACTTCTTCCAAGACAGATTTGTTTATCTTTTTGGCAATTCATTCTTCTCCAGCACCATAATTCAAATGTAGCCATTCTTCTTTGGTCTTCTTTGTTCAATGTCCAACTTTCACATGCGTATAAGGTCACTGAAAAG